GGAGTATTTTGGCGGGAGTATTTTGGCGGGAGTATTTTGGCGGGAGTATTTTGGCGGGAGTATTTTGGCGGGAGTATTTTGGCGGGAGTATTTTGCAGTGTGTGTGACATTCCGCGGTGCGCGGATGTGTGTAGCCAATTGGCGGGAATCACGTGACCTCAGTCAAGTAGGGGGAAGGAGGAGGGTGACGTAGGTTTAGATGACGAAATTGGCGGGAAACCTCTTTCAATGTATTTTGGAAACCCTGTGTCCAGAGGTGGAACAATCAATCGCCGCAAGGGGCAGAGAACGGGGATGGATGGGGGTTGGGGGGGGTTAGGGATGAAAACGTGTTTGGGAAAGCTTTCCATACTCGTGTATATGAAAGCGGCGTACGCAGGCGTGTAATTATCGCTGGCCACGTGGGCTCACACGAGGAGTGATCAGGAGTTTGGGATGGATGGAGAGCGGGTGGCGACGTAGAATCGGCGGGAAAAGGTTTGCATGGTCATGGATAGGAAAGACGCGCGTCAGACTGGTTGTCTTTAGCCACGTGGTCGGTGACGAATCAGGAATTTCAGGAGTTTGGGATGGATGGAGAAGCGGGTGGCGACGTAGAACTGGCGGGAAAAGGTTTGCATGGTCATGGGTCATGGATAGGAAAGACGCGCGTCAGACTGGTTGTCTTTAGCCACATGGTCGGAGACGGATCAGGAATTTGGCGGGAAGGTTCTATTAAAACCAAGTCGTGCATAGCGCAAACCGGTTTAAACCACCAGTGCGTCTGGAGAATTGGAATGAACCTGTCCGAAAAGTTAGGGAAATTGGGACAGGGCCCGCCTGGGGGCGGGCGGAATTTTCGTTTCGTTCAGGGCTGGGCCTGCTACGGCATGGGACCATTTGTTTTTTTCCTGGCCCTTTGGACGCCCTGTCCCAAGCCTCCGACCGAAATTTTAGGAGAGACTCAATCGAATTCCCAACTTGGCTGGGGCCATGTACTGGTGGTTTAAATGGATATTAGTGACTAAGCATGGATATTACTGACTGAGCAATCGATTTTGATTGATTGACGAGTGAACAAATCGATACTGAGCGATTGATTGATCAGTGAGCAATCAAAACTCGTGAGTAAACAAACCATCGATGGTAATGATTGAAAAGGCAGATCGTGATGAGCAAGGCAGCGTCGGAACCGGATATATACGTACAGCCCTGGGGTTGTCTACCGCGTGGGCGCGGGGAACGCAGCCCTAAGGTAGCCAAAGCAATGAGACTAAGAGCGCGCAAGAGAGAGAGAGAGAGAGTTTTGTTCCATTTATTGTTATGAGTGAGAGAGAGAGACAGAGAGTGAGAGAGAAAGAAAGAGAGATAGAGAGAGAGGGAGAGGGGGGGCTACCAGAGGGAGGGAGGGAGAGAGAAGGGGAGAGAGAGAGAGAGAGAGAGCGAGAGGCTGAATGGCAAAACTGAAATATGGGTCAAATTGCGGCCGCGATCTATTTCGCAGTTGGAATGATTTTTAAAAATTTATTTAGCGTTTTTCCTGGAAAGATGACAACAAAATCTAAGAGTATTCCAATTTTCAGGTTTTTCGCTCGTTCTTCTGAGCGAGAAAACTTACTGAATTTGGAGTACTTTTTCAGTTGGCCCACACATTGGCTGAGTGGCAAAAATGGAAAATGTGCCGAATCGGCGCGACAATTATTTCGCGGTCTAAATGATTTTTTGAAAATGTTCTAATACTTTTCCTGGAAAGAACACGAGCTCATCTATGGATTCTCAAAATTTCAGATTTTTCTGCCGGCTCCTCCTGTGCGCAGAAAATCCCCACTGGGGTTGCACTACAGTAGTGCTAGTAGGCCGAGAGGAGAGAGAGAAGAGAACTAAGGAAAAAAACTGTTTTGTACACGCACAGCCATGCTGAGGAAAATAATGCCCTCCCAAAGCCATCAGTGTCAAACGGATGAGGCGGAATTATTTGCCCATTATCTGTCAGAGAACGCCCTCTGCGGCTGTCAGATTGTTCTCCCACGAGGAGGTAATGATAGCTCGACGTCCGTTGAGCTAGCTACCCCACAGGTAGCTCAACGGAAAAGCGGTAAGGCAGGGGGCGAAGTATTCGGGGAATCCGATTTTTTGCCATTTTTTTTTTTACAGAAGCAAGGCCGGAAACGTTTGCCAATATACCAACGAATTCCACCGCCGCTCGATGCACAGGGACAGGCGTGATCTCGGTGGTTGCCCGACGTCACACATAATAGAAAACTCATCGTTGAGTTAGTTCAACGATGTTAGTGGGACATGGCCCCGGGGTATCAAATTTCTAGTTACAGCTAGTTCGGGTTTTGTGGTTGTGGAAGGTCAAGACCCAAGGTCAATCAAGGCCTCGAAACACTGACGAGAGAGGGGCAAGAATACTGTATACCAGAGTCAAATAAGGCCTTATTTGGCTCGGGTATTACTTCACCTCGCTCTCTCTCTCTCTGTCTCTCTCTTCAGTGCTGCAAAGCATTATTTGACTCTGGTATTGCTTTGCGACGGCCTTGTTTGACTCTGCCAGTACTTCGCCAAGGCGTTATAAAAAAGAATTAAAGGTGTTGTAAAGTAGGCAGCAATATGGTAAAAAGGAAGAAACTAGTTTTTTTTTCGGAGTCTGTAGATCTCAATCCTAGAGTCAGACAAGAATGAATACCACATAGAAGAGTAAAAACTAGATTTCCTACTATTATAGTCAAACAATCGACTGTTGAATATTGAAAATGATATAGCAATTGTAAAACAGGAAGACTCGACAGAATTGCCATTGAGTAAACCAGTGACTTAGTAATTGTGAAATTGAAATATTTTGTAAACGAGTGGATTGCAGAGGGGCCTTATTCGACCCTGGTAGTACGTTGCCTCCTTCATCACTGTTGCAGGAAAGGCCTTACGTGACTCCTGGTATTACTTTGACTGTCTTTTCAGTGTTGCAGGGAAGGCGGCACTGGACAAGAGCGATGTGGAGCCTGCCCTTAAAGCCCTGAAGGAGCGTCTTATGACAAAGAATGTGGTACGTATGGTGCCGCTGCAATTGAACTACACCGGCTGCGCCCGTTTTCTTTCGTCTTTTGGGAGACTTGTGAGATTTTTCAGTTCATATTTGACAGAGGTAGCCCATTTCTGTTTGGAGGTAGGAAAGTACAAAGCAAGTCAGAATGCTTTTGGGTCCTGTCCATCGGAGTGCAGACCATGCACTTAGGTGATTGAACATCCATGTACATTCTGAGATCGTTGATCTCTACATTTCCAAAACTTAGAGCAGAAAAAAAAAAAGAGCAGAGGCTTCTGTGTCGCCCTGTTGGGTGGGGGGGGGTAAAGAAACACCAGCAGCATTGGATGCATGTATGGGCAGGACGCTGGGAGTTGTAGACATGGGTAGTGAGAGGAAATTTGGACGGGGGGGGGGAAGTGAGCGAGCAATCATGAGTAACCATCACTAGTTTGGCCAAATAGGTGGAGGGATTACTTATGTACACTTCATTTCATTTGCATCTCCACATGAGCACGAATAAGAAGGTTAAGAAAAGGAAAAGAGTATGGCGCGGTTGCTGTCTGTCAGCTTGTTGTGGACAAGTGCGTGCTGACGTGTGCTGAAATTGATTGCAGGCAGAAGAGATAGCGGAGAAGCTGTGTGAATCTGTTTCTGCGAGTCTTCTTGGGCGAAAGCATGGGTCTTTTACTCGGATTTCTTCGACAGTGCAGGTGAGTCCATGCTGCTGCCGCCTCCTCTTGCAACTGTACAACTTCCCCAGGCTCCCCTTCTTCAAACACGTCTCCCCTTTTTTTGATCTCCTCTTCCAGTCTTGTCCTCGTCGTTCCCTTCGGCGGTGATTGTTATGGTGCCTTCAGCAGATTGCAGCAGTAAAGTTGAGGACCTCCCCTTCAGACAAGGTGTTGTGCGGGACGAGGATGAAGAGTCGTTTTGGGGATGCGTTGGTTATTATCTGTGGTAAACAAAAACTTCCAAACAGTGGGAACTACTTGATAATAAGTAAGAAAACAAACTAACAAGAACGATTTTGTCCATTGGATCCTGTTCCTGTGTTTTGTAACAACTAGGAATAACAAGACACCACCAACTGGTCTAGCTCAGTTGGTACGCCTACGCACTGTTGAAATGCAGACCTGAGTTCGAATTCCAGTGGAATCTGACGAGTGAAAATAACTCCGAATTTACCTGGGGCTGGTCAATTCAAAGATTATATCTCAAGGGCATCACCCTTAAAAAAAAAAAAAAAGGAATAACAAGACACCAAATTTGATAACTGATAAAGATTGCAGTCATTTTGGGTGATGATTTTGGGTGATGCGTTGATTATATTTATCTGCGATAGATCCCTCGGTTGTTGTTTCTTCCCGGTTACTTTCCTCGTCCAGCGTTCTCGTCGTTCCCTTCCCGTGTTCTTTCCTGGTTCCGCCGCCTTGTTCCCGTTTTCTTTCCTCTTCTCACCTGTTTCATTCCTCTTCCCACCACCTTGTTCTTGTCATTGCCTTTAGCTGCTATTGTGTAGTGCAGCTGGCTGCGGCAGTAATGAGGACAGAAGAAAGACAAGGTAAAAAAAAAGTGGAACTTCTCCCTTGTTGTTTTTGAGATGGGAGAAGTGCAACTTTCTTTGCCAGGTTTCTTTTTTTCATTTTTTCTGCACTGGGCGACTCTCTTTGCCGTGACCATAACGCTTCAATGGATTTAAAATTTACATTGTCAGAAAGCTAAATTGTTATGCGGTTGTGGTGCTGTGCTGTTCCTGTAGAGCTCTATTGCTTGGCATCAGCGGATACACGTGTAATATTCCGTGTGCCTATATGGTACAAAACGGCAAGGCCATGATGGCAGGGCAGGGGTGTATAATGGGAGATTTCGGCTGTGGCAGTGCATGGTTCTCACTGATGTGTGTGGCAAACTGAGCATGGATGTGTGAACTTCTGTGCCGTGGGCATGACCATTGTGTGTTCGCAAGGCAGCTCCATGATGTGTGCTGCACATGCATAGTCTCCGTTTGTTTTTCCTTTCAGAGGTCTGAGCCACGGAGACATTGCGCATGCGACTTCTCATGGCTTGGCAATCCAGTGAGTGTGCATGTGCACTTTTTGTGAGCGGGCAGGGCACCATGGCTTTGCTATGGCTCCTTGGTGCCTGTCGCCCATGCACAGCCTCTGCTCTATGTGCTGCGCATGCATTGTGTCTCTGTTTGTTTGTCCTTCCAGAGGTCTCAGCTATGACACTGCGTGTGCAACGTCTCATGGCTTGGCTATCCAGTGAGCGGACATAGGGTGAGTGATATAGTCTGCTTTGAATTTCGGCACAGGCACCTTTGAGGGCAGTGGTTGGTGCCCACCTCAAGGTATCAGTGGTCGGGCAGACGTTGATGCTTAACCGGCGATGATTCTTAGAGGGGGACCCTCAATTGGACTCTATACCTCAGGGCCAGATTCAGCGGCAGGTTCAGCATGATGCTCAGCTCCAGTGTGCTGTGCCCATGCTGAGAGCATATAGCTGGTCATCGAGCAAACTATGTTAGTCCCAGTTAATCAAAAAGGGATGGTCCCATTGGACTATGCCTACGTGTTTGATATCTGACAGTTAGAATCAGATGGCGAAAACAACTCTAGACAAGATGGGTCGGATTTCAGAGCCCAGTCATAGTCCTGTTTTATGCTAACCAAGGCCTCCATAACTTTTGCTGTCTTAGCCCTCTATGGTGAGGGTTAGGGCCTTGTGTTTATGAGATTCTGTGTCAAGTAGACAGTGTCGAATCCGTCAAGTTTTGCTGAGTTGGAGTATGATGAAAGTCTGCCTAACGTGGCCAAGGTCGAGGGTTCCACGCCCCTTTTCCCTTGTAATGGTCGAAATGTATTTATTGGTGGTGTCCCCACGGCAAATGGCAGTAATGGGGGGTTGTACCTACAAGGCCCAACCTAGACGGGACAACTTTCTTTTCCTTTCTGAAACTAAAGTGATAATTTTCTTTGTGTGTGTGGTGCAGGTTGCCATGGAGGAAGCACTGACAAGGATATTGACACCCAAGCGATCCATAGACATCCTTCGAGATGTGCACGCAGCGAAGGAGCAGGGACGCCCATATGTGATCGTGTTTGTGGGGGTGAATGGAGTAGGGAAATCTACAAACCTCGCCAAGGTGATTCCTCACCAATGGATCTTAGCTCTTGGTTGATTGGGTGTGTGGCGGGCTATGACCGGACTGCAATGCCGTCTCCTGATGATGGGTTGATTGGCTGGGCGGCTGGCTGTGAGCGGACTGCAAAGCCTCCTCTGCTGCATGGCCCTCCTAGAAAGAAGATGGAAATGATTTGCACCTTTGGTCTCTCAGCGTTACAAGCTTGCTCATATAAGACACATGTTTGCTTTGCTTGAGAAAGTTTGAAGAAGGACAGGGCGGATGTGCGGGATCGGATTTGTGAGCAAAGTGGGATCGGATTTGTGAGCAAAGTGGCTAGCGCAGCTCACAATACCCGGAATGTCTTGGCACAGCTTATCTCCGTCAAGAAGATAACTGCAGCGTGTGTGATTCTTACTCTTATATCATACCAGTGGATGAATGTGTATAGCATGTGCCCATGTGTGTGTGTGTGTGTGTGTGTGTGTGTGTGTGTGTGTGCGTGTGTGCGTGTGTGTGTGTGTGTGTGTGTGTGTGTGTGTGTGTGTGTG